GGAGAAATCTCTGGAAAGGTCGACGCCCGCGGCGCAGTCGGTGGCTGTGGTCGTTACCACCACCGACGCGTCTCTGGTCGGACGGGAGAGTCTCCCGGGTGGACCCGGCGGGCCAGGCTCCTCCAGTGGGGGGCGCTCCATACGCTCCCCGAGCCTGGCCGCCCGGCTTCCAGCGGCTGATCTGCTTCGGGCAGGCGGGAGGGTAGCTCCGAAAAGTCTGTCCTTGGGGTGCAGGCGCCTCTGATCTGAACGGGACCCCGGCGTCCCGATCCCTATGGGATCCCTCTCCCGCCGCGCGCATCTGGGGAATGAGTTCTGCGCTGGGTCCTGCACCCCTCTCTCTCCCATCCCTCCCCGGCCTATGACACCAGCTTAGGCTCTTTCTCGATGACTTTTTAGAGCAAAGATTTCCACGAAAGAAACCTGGCGGAGGGGGTGACGGCTGCTTCCCAGCCTCCTTCCGTCGTCCCGGTTCCCTTCCCAGCCAGAGACTTAGGAAGCCCTCACTTAGCTGGCAACCCGACCCCAACCCTCCTCGATGGGGGTCTGAGGTCCCCGCAGCCGCAGGAGAGTTAGCGACCCCTCCCCACCCCAGCAACTTCCTGCGCGGCCCACGTGCTTGGAGCTCCACGCACGCCCCGTGGGGTGGAGGGTCGGGCCCTCGGCGGCCCTCTCCTTTCCCTTTCCTGTCCTGGGTCCAGCCTGCCAGCCGCTTCCCCTTCCCCGTCCTCCTGACCCCAGTGGCAACCGTTTCCCCTACGCCCCTTGCCCGAGTCGGGCTGGCTCACAATCTCCCCGATTGTGTCCAGAACAATACAGTACCGCCTCTGGCTGGGTGCGTTCAGAGGCTGCCCGCTTCCTGACAGAACAGGACTGGTCAGCCTCTGACGTTGGCCGCCTGGCCTGCATTTTCTCCAGCTGGTGTGTGTGTGTGTGTGTGTGTGTGTGTGTGTGTGTGTGTACACGCGCGCGCATCGGGGAGGTGGAGGCGGTATGTCTGTTCTCTCCCACCTCCCAGCAGCTCAGAGATGTGGCCATGGCCTGAGAAGGCAGCTGTGGCTGCTTATTCCAGGTCCTGCTGCGTGTCCACTAGTGTTGAAGGGTCCAGACAGGCCTGACATTCCCCAGCCCACTCAGTTCTGGAGGAGGAAAATGCTTGCTGTGCAGAGTAGCTGGGCCAGTGGCATGTCCCCGCTGGGCCACACAATTCAGTTCCGAGAGGGGTATGTGTGTATACACTGGACCTTGTGGCTGTGCCCACACACCTGGGAAGGATGCTGTCTGTTTGTTGGGCTTAGGGAATCCTAAGGTACTGAAGGCAGAAAAAAGGGGGAGAACATGAAAAGGTGGCTTAGCGGTACACATCTTAGAATGATTTGGCAACTAATCCTTTCCAGCCATGGCTAATTCCCACCGACGCCACTCCAAGGTGAGAGCGGGGCCAACTCTGGGTGAGAATATATTGTGACAGGGTGGCAGCAGACATAACTGCCAGCTCATCTTCCCACACCACCCCCACAGGAAGGGCCCCCTTTCCTCCTAGGCCACTGACCTAGCTGGTTTAAGATCCCTTCCAAAGGAACAGCCCCCGGAGCCTGGCTGGACATCCCCACAGGGAGGGCAGACAGGCCAGGCCAGAGAAGACCCTGAGCGCCCTGGCCTATCCGCCTGGAGTGGGACTGGACCACAGTGACTTATTTCTTAGGTTCTTCCTCCCACCTCCCTCTACCCCCACATAATCCTGATCCTGATTGCTGCCCACCTCCCACCCACCCCCCACTCTCCACCCCACCATGCTGGCTCCTAAAGGAAAAAGAAGCCACGTTCTTCAGCAGAAGCGGGGCAGGATTCTCTCCCCTGGGCTCAGTCCCTCCAGCACAGCCATCCCTACCCCAGCGTGCATCTGGAGGGAAGAAGGAAGAGAGGCCTGGAAAGGGGCTGCCGCCTCAGCCTGGCAGCAAGGCAAGAGGCTAAGAGACTGAGAACCTCCTCCACACCCTCCCAAACTCCTCCTCCCTGCTCTTTTTCATTTTCCACACAAATTTCCCCTTTCACCTTTTTGCCTGTCACCTGGTGCAAACAACAGGACTCGAGCCAATAGTTTTTGCTGTGGCTTTATCCTCTCTCCTCCTCCCCTGCTTTCCTCCAGAGTGGCCACCAGATCCCAGACCCTCCACACACCACCCTGCTGAAAGGTCCTCAGGGGAAGTGGGACTCCGCCTTGGGAAGCCCAGCAGGCACTGGGTGCTGGGACTGTTCAGGCCAAGAAAGTGCTAGAGAAGGTGTCTGTCTGCAAAGACCCTCACTCAGAGAAGGCCTGCCAGCAGTTCAAAGGCTATTTATCTCACCCAAAGCCCTTCCACCTCCACCCTATTATCTCAACCTCTGCCTTCTGTTTTTGTAGACTGCATGCCCCCTCCCCACCCTCCACTTCCCCTCCCCCCTCTAATGGATTTTCATTCGCAGTTTTCCAGGAAAGCAGAACTCTTGGCTTCCTTCCTGATCCATCTGTCCCACCCCATCCCACCCCCAGTCTCGAGGCCCAGTCCACAGGACAGCTGTGGGCACTTATGCTCCTGTCCTTTATGGGGGAAGGTCCCAAAGGGGTGGCTTATTTCAGGGAGGACGTGGGTGTGGGGGGGAGATGCAGACCACTGTGGGCCTCCCACCCACCCCTGGGCAGCAGCTGACGGGCCTGTTCTCTGGTTCTCAGCTCTGGCAGTTAGAGTGAGGGGGAGGGGGCATTCTAAGGAATTCCAGGGAAGGACTGATAATAGATAACTGCCGAAGGAACTCTCCCAGGAGGACATCCCAGGATATCGGAGCAGCACCACAGAGGATACCAGCCAGTGTCATAAATTCCTAGACCATTTGCACTGAAAGGGGCCTTGGAGATCAGCAAGTCCAGCCCCCACTAATAGTCACCCGCTGGCTCACGCAGCCTCCGGATTGGTCAGGTTCTCCTAGCGGTCTTCTCAGCCAGGGACTCACCGTTCACCTGGCTAGACTTGAGACCCAGTGGACCCAAAAGCTGCTTTAAAAAACCCTGTTCCTTCCCAGCAGGACCCAGGCCCTTTTGACCTGGGAGCATTCCAAAGCTGGGTGGGGAAGGAGCCAGACTTGGGACAGGTCACTCAAATTCTCCCAGAGCCAACAAACCCTCATCCATTCAGCCTCCCAGTTTAGGGGAATGGAGGGGAGGGGGTGCCCTCCACATGGGGGGGGGGGGCATTTGTCACACAGATGTGCCTCGCCATGGCTGGGTCCCTTTGCTCTGAGTTTGGTGTTCTTCAGAAGCACCATGGGGGGAGGGGCGCCCCCTTCACAGCCCTTGCTCCAGCCCCAGGGAAGTGGTTCTTGAGCACCAGTCTCCCTCTGGACCTCCAGCTCTGGACTGCGGCCTCCCCTCAGTGCCCCTCACCCCAGCCACCAGGATCCAGTTAGGGGAGTTTGGGACAAAGTGTGCCAACTGCCATGCAACATAGCCTGAGGGGAGTGGAATGATGCTGGCTGGAGGGGCGGGCCCAGGCCAGCTTCCCCACCCCCTTCTCCTCCAGCCTCTTTCCCCCATATGGTTCTCATAAGGTCTGGGCTCAGAGACAGCAGCCAGAGGAAGTGGCTGTGTACAGAGAGCTTTTGTGAGGGGAGGAGGGGGGAGGGGGAGAGAGTGAAGAGAAAGAAGGAAAGAAAAGAGGGAAAAGCAGAAGTGGGAGGAGGCCAGGACACTCCAACACACTCCCTTACCCTCCAGTGGGGCAAGGTCTCAGCTGCAACACCCCATGTGGGGTTTGGGACCCAGCCCATCTGAAATGAGGGGCCCAGAGGAGTCTAAGTCCCTCCCTGACCCTTCCCACCTTCCTGCTAGAGGAGCTGGAAGTCTTGGGATCCCCTGCCCTTAGGGCTCCCCCACCCGTGCAGGATGTCAGGGCCCATGGTCCCATCTCAGGGTGAGCACGGGGCAGAGAACAGAGCCCTCTGGGGTTCACTGGTTGAGTCCTCATGGCACCAAAGAGACTGGGGAGGCCATGAGCTGAGCTCCAAAGACAACACATATAATTCAGCCGCCAGTGGATCCAGGACCCAGAATGGATTATTTGGCCTGAATTATTCAGAACCGGGGCACGAACCCAGCCATTCCTGATCCCCTAGGAATCCCTTTCTGCTGGCTACCATGGGTCATCCCTCAGTGTTGGGGTGGGGGCAGCAATCCCTAGCCTTAGGGGTGAGTCTGAGAATTTCCCCAAAGACAAAGGCAAACCAGTGTAATTTGAACCTAACCAGAAATTGACCCTTAAATTTGGGGTCATGTTTTTAATGGGAGAGAGTGTTTCTAAGTTTATGCCACATGGGAGTCATTGGGATCAGAACCCTTTCCTGAAGGAGAAAACGTTCCAGCCACCTCTGAGTCGATCCCTGGCCTTCCATTCAATGGGCTTTCCTCACCGAAGCCCAGAGAGGGGAGGGGAGTTCCCCAATGCCACACAGCCTGGACCTGGACTCCATTCCCTCACCATCCTGAGGTAGAGACTGCCCTGTGCCTCCTTGGGATCTGACTGAGAGCAGGGGAGGAGAGAGGAGGGAAATGGTCCTGGGCTGAGAAGCCAGAAGGAAAATCCGGTATCTGCTAGGAAGGGGCTGCTTAGAGGGGCTGTTTATTTTCATTCCCCCAGCCCAGCCGCTCTGTTCTATTTAGAGCTCAGACACTGACAGGACAAGGCTGCCTCCTCCCCTTCCTCCCTCCTGAGGGGGGGGAGGGGGGGCATCCTTCCCAAACTCCAGAACATTCCTTTGTTTTTAGGACTGGGTGACAGGGGTCGGGCAGCAGAGAAACTGGAGTTAGCTAACCTGGGCAGCCTCCCAGGGCCCATCTTTCCTGGCCCTGGGAGTGGGGAGAGGCAGATGGGGGAGCAAAGGGTGTGCAAGATGGATGGGGCCAGGTGAGGGGCAGGGGAACCAATCTGTCACAGAGGAGCCAGGAATGGGGGAGAGGGAGCAGCCTGAGGAGGGAGTTCCAGCCCGAACTTGAGGGGCCAGACATCTCCCAGCTGGGAAGGGAAGACTGAGCGCCCCCTCCCCCCAGGGCCCTTTGCCTGCTGGGAACTGTGTAGCGAGGCAGGAACCCTAGACTTCAGGCTCCCAGAGTCTCCATGTCCAGGATGGGAAAGGCCATCAAATATAAGGGGTGTGAGTCTTCAGTATAGACCCATCTTTTACAGAGAAGAAAGCCCCAAGAGAGGGGCTAGCCTGCCCAAAGTCACCAGGCTCCTAGCCAGACCCCAGGGCTCCTGGCCCAGTCAGCCTTTTCCCACACTGACCAATGAGATGTCATCCCTGGGGACAGCAGGGGAGATATGCTAAGGATTTGGGAGCCAGGAAAAGGGGGCACCCACCCCCAATGATAGCCTAACAAGTAAAAGTGTACTGAGGGAACCACTGTCATCACTCAGAGTATTTGAAATCAGACTCACCCAAAAAGAGTGGGACCAGGTTCTCTAAAGCATTCCTCCCAGTGTTTGCTCTCCCTCTCCCCCTCAGCTTCTGGACTATTCGCCTCCTATGGTGGCCCAGAAGAGCTGTACTTGGAGCCGGGTTAGCTCCAAAGTGAGCTCTGGCAAGACTGACTTGGGAGGGGGGTGGGGGGAGAGGTAGGAGGAAATTGCCTTCTGACTTGGGAAAACCAAGGTTCAGCATGAACTGTCTAACGATGACCCCACCTTCCCTGGACCCCTGTCCCTCCAGACACCCATCCATTCACTCAGCCAGTGCCTGCGCTGTGCCCAGCCCCAGGCCAGGAGGTGAGCGACCTGCTCTCTGCCCTCAGGGCCTTGGAGTCTTTTTGTGGAGACTGGATACAGACTCTCAAAGGAAGACAGGATCAGGGCCTCAGGGCTCCCAAGGAAAACTTCTGGGGTGGGAAGACGAGAGATAATTTATACTTATGTATAAACGACTGATAACAGATTGATCCTTTCAAGTTTACTTATATTTAAAAAGAAACTCACTTTCTTCACTCAAAATCTTGGCTCCCCAGTGGTGAGATTTGGGGCAATGTTTGGAGGAAGTGTTGAAGATGGATCGGAGTAACGTCCCAGCTTCCTCAAATCAGACGCACACAAACATTCCAGACACATCTCCTGTCTGACACATCTCCCTTCACCTTCCATGCATGGAAGAGTGTAGACACCCTGTCTCATTTATGCTCTCATTCACTGGAGTTCTAGTGTGCTGCGCAGGGCTGAGCACACAATTGGTGTTAGTGTAAGTTTGAAGAACACATGAATGAATGCCTAGGTGTGAATGACCACAGCTAGGTGCTGGGGTCCCCAAAATCCCCATCAAAGCACACTGGCCACCTACCACCAACACCTGCTCACCAAGACAGGGTGCCTTGTAGAGAGGATAGGTTAGAAAAAAGGAGACAAGAAAGCCCCATTCATAGAAGCCATTCCCAGACTGTTTTCTCTCTTGACCTTGACCTCAGGCCCTGCCTGGACAGCCCAGCTTCAAAGCTGAAGCCAGAGGCTGTCTCAGGACATGACCCTGTAAACCCTGGGGAAGGAAGGTCCTACCTGACTCTCCTGCTAACCAATAGGGGTTCAGGGCTGACTGGACAGACTTCCAGCCAAGGGACAGGATCACGGAAAGGAGAGGAGTGTTGATGTCCTCTCCAACATTTATGTCCCCTGCAGTCAGGCTGAGTGGACATGAAAGGCCGCCTTTAGCCTGAGGGTGTGCGTCAAAGCAGAGCCTGTGGACCAGAGGCAGTCTCACTTCTGGAGAACCTCCTGTCCTATCCCCCACATCAATGTGCTCCCCATCCTTCATGACACATAACGATTATGGCTAATTGACAGAGTATGATATTTGGTAATTATTTAGTTCATTACGCATTTATTCATTTCAATTTTGTAGCATTTATATTTCAGAGGCAGTGATGATTTTTGGGGTTTTAGACGTCTTTGTGAGCCCTGGAATTGCTCGAAGGCTCTGGGCACTGTACCTGCAGGAGAGGCTGGGAGTCTAGCATCACTTTGATGGTCAGGGTAGATTATTGGCCTAGGCCATTTTGGTGTCAGCAAGCAGACCACCTTCCTCCCCTCGCCGGTGGTCTCCCTGAGACACTGCTGAGGTGCCAGCGGCAGGTGTCGGAGACGGGGCCGTCACAGCCCAGAAAGCCTTGGTGATGGCCTAAATTCCAGGCTCAGACTCTAGAGAGCATAGATCCAGTGTCCAGACCTGTGGTCCTTGCATCTCTGTGTTGGGGTGGGTGTCTTACATGTATGACTCTTCCTGCACATGGGAGAACCATTTGGTTCAGGCAGCTGCTGGCCCCACGCCCTACGGAGTAGTGCCCACATGACCCCTACAGGGTCATCTTTGATGTCAGGCTGCGATCTGGTGAGTTCCTGTGGCTTCCCAGAGGCCACAGGGCCTCCCTGTAGACGCCAGCCACTCGCTCTCCTGGCCTCTAGCCTCATTAGTGGTAACTCTGCTTGCTTCTGTTCCCTAAAATAGGACCCTAGCTGGGAGACAGTTCTGAAATGGACTCAGCATGTCCCCTCTTCTTGGCCAGATTTCAGACTCTTGGGTAGAGAACAGGGGACTCCAGGGACTGGCTGCCTCTCTGTGAAAATGTGATGTTGGTTGGTAGATGGGGGGAGGGAAGGTAGGAAGAAAGAAGCTGAAGATGCTGGGCCACCCTAGGCCTGTGAGGTGGGGCTAGTGGTTGGGAGGGAAATCCACCTGGCTGGCTCCCAGTGCTGTTGCAGGGCCAGCGGCTGGTGCAAGCCCAGGAAATGTCTGTCTGGTAGTTGGGGGAAGGGGGTTGTTAAATGGGGCCAAGTCTGGCACTGTGTCTGCAACACTGGAAAGAACCGTGGGACTGAGGCTCCCCCTTCCCCGCCCGATTGTTGGGGCCACCCTGCCTGTCTTCCTCCCATGAGACAGCCTAGTGTGGTAGGAACACTTCTCTCCCCATTGGGCGAGGCTGTGTGTGTGTGTGTGTTCATCTAGCCCACTAGCAGCCTGTAACTGCCAGTTTCCTACCTGCCCATAACAACGCCAAACCCAAATCACTGCTCTCTCCTCCCTCACCAGACGCCCATGGGCACCTCCGGAGAAACAAACCGACAAGCATAATTGAAGCCATTCTCCGGAGAATCTGGGTCTAAAGTAAAATTTCTCAGCCCTGTCTAGGTTGTTAAGGCCAGAAGGTCCAGTTCTGGGTATCTGGGTATTGAATCATGCAGATGTCTGCCTGAAGTCTGTCCAAGGGCTGGGCATGCGGCAGGAGGGGCCCATTGGAGAAGGATGAAGTGTTGTTTGCTGGTGGCCTGCTTCTGTGGGTGGCTTAGAGGATGGGGGGTCAGGAACATGTTCCCTGCAATAGGAAAAAACACCTCATTTCAAGAGGTTGGACTTTGCACCCGGCTAGCCACACTGGAAGCTGCAGCTGACCCCTACCCTATTCTGCCTTCCCCTCCCCAGCACAACAGAGGCTGCCTCAGAGAGCATGCAGGGCCCTGGCCTGCAGGGGCTCTTGATTCAAGGTGGAGAGGGTTGGGATGCAAGAGCTGAGCTGATCTGGGCAAGAGGCTGGTCCTCACCTGCCTCAGGGGCTGGTCCCTGACCCTTTGCTCTGCTCCCATGCCACCCAGACATGCACACGCCACCCCACTTGCCTCAGTATCTCATGCAATCCAGACTTCCTCCTGGGGAGGTGCTGCCACAGGGAGACTAGATGAGGGTTAAAGCCACTAGTCACAGGTGGCCCCTGAGCACTTGTGATGTGGCTGGTCTTAATTGAGGTGTGCTGGAGGAGGAGCATACACATCAGATTCTGAAGACTTATTACCAAAAAAAAAGGAAAAGATCTCAGTAATTTTGTATATTAATTACATGTTGAAATGGTAACATACGGGTTAAGTGAATATTAAAATTTAATATTTTTATTTAATTTTTAAACTTTTAAAAAATGTGGCTAGAAAAACATTTAAAATCACATATGCAGCTTGCATTGTACCTCTATTGGTGAGCTCTGGGTTAAGTAATTTGGAGTTCAATGTTAAAAGCTAAAAAGTCTGGAGAATGTGGGATATTCCCCTCCCCCCTCAACACCATCTCTAGATGTGTCTCTAGACCAGTTCTCAAATTAGGATCCCAGGTTTTAATCTCAGGGATTTAGAGAATTTTTAAATACGGTATTCTGTTTTCAATTCAGTGATCTTTTAAAAATTCTTTTGCAGATGAATTTCAATTAGAAGGCATTTTCATAGGATAAGATTTTCATGTCTAAGGTCAATGTTTCTCAAATTGGAATCCTTGGACATTTTCTCAGGAAATCAGATACTTTTCCCTCCCTTGGACAGGTCCATACTCAACCCAAGTTTAAGAAATCATGTTCTCAGGCCTCCGGATTCGTAGATGGCACTGTGATCAACTGGCAGCTCTGTTCCTCTGTCTTTTCATACTTCCCACCTCTCCTCTTTGCCCCTCACCCCCCATCAGCATCCCCATCCTCTTCCTTTCCCAGGAACCCAGGGAAGGGACAGTCCCTGGGAGAGACCCCTGGGATTGCGGGGAGGCTAAAAGGGATGCCCTTTTCCCACCTTCTTCCTGACATTCCCTGACTTTCCTAAGGATACTGTGGGGCCTTCTTGCCTTCTCTAACTTTTGATGCAACCTCTGAAGCTCACACTTGGGGTGTATGAAGGGAATGAGCTGGGGAAGAGGCAGGCTTTTACTTTCATTCATTCATTGGTTGATATTCTTGGATATGCCCTGACCAGGGACTGAATCAAATACCTTGGCGTTTCAGGATAACACTCTAATCAACTGAGCTACCCAACCAGGTTCAAGGCAGGCTTTAATTTAAAAGTCACACCATCAAGAACCAGTCACTCACCCTGGCTCCATTAGGGCCTGAATGAGACCATTAGAGGCACTAAGAACTGACAAGACTATTTATGTTTGACCAGCACCACCTGTAATGTGAAATAAAACTATCTATCCTAATCCATAAAATGAGAAGAAAAGGGTTCATGAAAGTTCTAATTGCTCATATAGTGACTACTGTGATGTACTTTTGGAAATATCAAGATATCGGTGTGTGTGTGTGTGTGTGTGTGTGTGTGTGTGTGTGTGTGTGTGTAGCACCTTGGAAACCCAGCATCACACAAACCCCTCTCCCCCCCACCCAAACTCCTCCCCCACAGTCACCCTTCAGGCCCTACTGAGAAATGCCATTGTTGGAGGGACTGCTAGGTGTTAGGTGGGGACTAGAAGGACAGGAAGGGTCTATTTGGAGAGGGATGGAGGGAGGAAGGAGATGAGGGCTCCACCCCTTCCCGCTGACCCAGAACCCTTCCACTCTTGCCTCCATGCTGGCCATTGTCTGTTCTCCAGAGCCTCTTGGAGTAAGTGGGATGTCAGATGTCTGGGGTCCTCTCACTGCCCTGTTGATATAGTCACCCACCCACTCCCAGTGAGCTTTGGGGCAGAACTCTTTGACAGCCCCTCTCATGCCTGGATCAGCCACTGCCCGCTCCCTTACTGTCCAGCTCTGAGGCTGCCCACTCAAGAGAAGTCCCAAGGCCTCTACCTTTGGCCTTCCCAGGTCCAGAGGGAGCAAAGAAGGGAAACCTTTGCCTCAGCCCAAGGCAGGCAAGAGTTGGGGTTGAGGCTCATTAAAGCGTTTAATAAGCAATTAACTCAAGAGATGAGCCCTTTGGCTGGTCTGAAACTCCCTCCTCCCAGTGGGGTTCCTGGCAGAGAAAGGCTGAGTGGGTGGGCGGAGTGGGTTCACACAGTTGGCTGGGGCCTCTTTCCTCCTCCCCTCAATACAAATGAATAAATAAACAGCTGGGGCGGGCAGAAAGGCTGAGGCCCCGGGGAAGCCCAGGGCTCCTTCCATTTTCTGTTAAGGCTGCAGACAGGTTTAGGGAGGCAAGGGCACTCGGGGGCCCTCCAAATTGGGGCCTTTTCCGGGCTGGTAGCGTCCCCTTCAGGTGAGATCCTCAGCTCACAGAGAAAGTGCTGGAGACCCCAAGAAGGGGCAGCTCCTCCCATCTGCCTCCACTCCTACTGGGCTTCCTGTTCCACCTGCCAGAGCCCTGACCCAATCCAGGTCATTCCTCACCTCTGTCCTCAGGATATTGGGCTTAGGGCTTGGGCTAGCTAGACAGAGCTGTGGAGGGCTGGAAGGGGGCGCTAGGGGCTGAACCCGGAGGTTCCAAGATATAAAGGAGCATTGCAACTTCACATCTATTCACCTACCCACGTGCATACAGAGTCCTAAGTCAGACCCAGGCTGTAGGGCAGTAGTTCTCAACCTTGGCTGCACATTAGAATCACCTGGGAATCTTTTTAATATCCTGATTTCTGGGCCTCATCCTCCGGAAATTCTGTTTCTTTGTTATGGGGTGGGGCCACACACCCCATAACAAAGAAACAGAATTTCCGGAGGATGAGGCCCAGAAATCAGGATTTTAAAAAGATTCCCAGGTGATTCTAATGTGCAGCCAATGTTGAGAACCACTGCCATAGGGGGACCCAGGGCAGGTGAAATGCCTGATTTGGGGCTCACTGTTGACTAGTCTGCCTGAACCATTTGCTGGCTCCTCCCTATGGTCTCCTGGAGCTGGTGGTGGTCTGCTGCCTTGCACAACTTTAGGTGGTGCCATTTATACAGAATGCAATGTGGCTGTAATTGTGAAACTGGCTCCCCACTCCATCCACACTTTCCAGCTGTAACAGCACATTCTGCTATCTGTGTTCTCCCTCTGCCTTCAGGCTCTTGAGCAACAACAAGATCACTGGGCTCCGGAATGGATCCTTCTTGGGACTGTCCCTGCTGGAGAAGTTGTAAGTGCTGGGACGAGGTGGGCCGGAGGTGGTGCATTATGGTCATGGGCAAGTTCAGGAAGGATGAGGAACGCTGGTTGCTAAGGGACCCCACAACCCAGGACCTGCTGGCCAAGAGTCAGACCCACTAGGACCCTGCCCAGGACTTGACTCCCAGGTGGAAGGCAGAGAGGGGTTGGTCTGAGAGAAAGACCAGCTCCTTCACCAGTGACAGCAGAGAGAACTAGAGAAACCTCGCTGGTCTAGGCAGGGAGGAGCTAAGGGAAGCTCATTAACGCTCTTTAATGAACAATTAGCTACGAGGGCTGAGCCTCTTAGTTGGCCAGAAGCCTCTGCCTCCTCCCAGCTGGAGGCCCAGCATAAAGAAAGGGCTGAGGCAGGATTTAGTGTGATTGGGACCTCTTTCCTCCTTCCCTAAAAACAAATCAACAAACAAAGCCCTGAGGGGCCAGAGTCCTGGGCCGAGGGTGGGGATAGGGGTCACATCGAAATCTCCATGTACCCACACCCCTCCTCCCTAGTTTAGAGCTGCAGCTTCCATCTGTCCATCCGCCCTACAGACCCAGGCAGGCTGGGGTTGGACTCAGGAGGGCCCTGCTAGCCCACAAGAAACTTCTTCCCAGAGTTGGGAACTTGACCCGGTCATGGGCAAGTCACTTAACCTGCCAGATGAGGGGATTGAACCAACCCCTCTGTCAGTTTTCTGTTGAGTTGGCGTACTCCAGGATCCACAGCCTGTATGACAGCTCTGGGTCCTGTCTCCTCCACAAAAGACCTGGCCTCCCATCCTACTTGGAGACTGAGCCCCCCCTTCCATCTGCCCCTCCTCAAACCCCTCTCTCCCATCTCTGCTGCCACCCTTCTGGGCATTCCCAAGTCCTCCAACAGGGCCCCTGCCCCCTCTAGTACCATTTTGCCTAAAAGGCTTGCATCAGTGCAATGGAGGATACAAAAGAATAAGGCGGTAAAGACCCAAAGAGATGACAGTCTAGGGGAGACCACAGACAAGGCCATATGTATTAGAATTAAGTAGGATAGGGTTTATGTACGTCAAGTCCAAAAGAAGGATCAGTGAAGGCTGGAAAGTTCAAGGGGAATAGAGATGCAGTAACTACATGACAAGGAGTTTAGATCTTTAACCAGGACAACAACCTTATGAGGTTGTCTCTATTACACCCACCTCACAGGGGAAGGGAAAGCCTCTCCTCCAACCCCCGCTCCCCACGCGGTGAGGAAAGCTTGATTAGTGGTTTGGTTGGTGGGGGTGGGGAGGCAGAGCATGTTCTGTCTGATCTGGGCCATTCTAGGCGTGGGAGGGGGTCTTGGGATGTTGACCTTAGCGTCGACACAGCTCTGTGACCATCTGATCCGCTGCTCTGCAGCTCACAAACAGGGTGGTCCAGGCAAGGAGAAAGAGCTGCCACCGAGCTGTTATTTAATGTCTCCTTGGGCACCAACAAACAGGGCAGGTTTTATCTTCCCTGAGCAGTTAGCATTTGGGAGTCCGATTCCTCTGCTCAGCCCAGGCGCAGTCTTAGAGGGCCGACTGGCAGGAAACCAGACTCTCCTTCCAGGATCTTTGGGAGGAAGACAAACCGCAGCTGCCTCTCCAGCCCTTTGCTTTGCTCCACAAGGGCCAGTCACCGCCCAGAGACGTTCTCCCTTCTCTCAGCACAAGCAAGCGCCGCTCTGAGCCTCTCGTGGCCTCACTGACATCTTCCCATCCTTACCCTTTCGGTTGATCAGTCAGAGACCCACTGGGTCTGCCCCCTCCTCATCCTTCAATCTCATGAGGATAGAGTTCTGATGAAGATGAAAAGATGGCCTTTTTCTTCCCACCCATGTCAACATACTGAGTCAGATGCCCCTCCTCAGCACTGGGACTCTGGTACCACACAGCAGGTGCATGCAAAGCATGGGAGGCAATCCGAGGAAAGTGGGAGAATAGTCCAGGAACAAGGACTAAATCCTGAGTCATCTGAGGTGGAAGGGGTGCTGGGCAGGAGGAAGAGCCCTCAGGGCCCAGTTTGAGCCCCTGCTCTGATAGGAATCATTCTAGTCATTCATTCTAGAGAATTTTATTGAGCCCCTTTACTTATTTTATTATTCATTTATATATCACAAATCTCCCTTATGTATGTGCAAAGCTCTGTCCTAGGCATTGGGAGTGAACACAATAGACCAAGTGCCTGCCCTCATGGAACTTACCCTCTCTTGATGGGACCCAGAAAATAGCAAATAAATGTATATTATGTCAGGAGACAATAAGTGCTACAAAGCAAAACGAATCAGGGTAAGGAGGATAGAAAGCAATTGGGGGAGTGGGCGTTTTATGTCGTGAGGTCAAGAAAGGCCTCGCTGACAAGGTGACTGGGCCTGAGACTCAAGGGATGGGGGAATGGGAAAAATCAGAAGGCTAGCAAGAGCAGCAGTTGGCAAGGCCCTCGCGACCAGAGTATGCCTGGCGAGTCTGAGGAACAGAAGGGCATTGTGACTGGGAATTGGTCAGAGATGAGGTCAGAGAGATGCAGAGGTAGGCCCCAGGTTTGGGGCCTCAGTTTCCTCATCTGTGAAAAGGGGGGTGGTGGGGATAGGGTGATTTGTAAAGTGCATTATGGATTTAAAATTCTATGATCCTGTGTGTGTGTGTGTGTGTGTGTGTGTGTAATATCCACAAGTGCTGCATGTGAAGGAAAAGATCAAAGAGCAAAGTGATGTGGCCCATTATTCCAAAGGAGGGGAGACCTCTGGGCCGAAGGATGGAGAGGCAGTGCAGGGGCTGGAGGACCCAGGGTCTCCATCCTGGTTGATCACGACTATATCAGTTGGGATTCTCCAGAGAAGCAGAATCAGTCGGAGATGCGTGTGTGTGTGTGTGTGTGTGTGTGTGTGTGTATCTTTATATAACATACTAGAGGCCCGGTGCATGAAATTTGTGCACTTGGGGAGCCCTCAAGCCCTCATTCGAGAGGGTGCAGGCCAGGCCGAGTGACCCTACCAGTGCACGATTGGGGCCAGGGAGGGATGCAGGAGGTTGGCCAGCCGGGGAGGGACCGCGGAGGGCTCCAAGGCATGTCCGGCCTGTCTCGCTCAGTCCTGATCAGTCGGACCCCAGCAGCAAGCTAACCTACCGGTTGGAGCGTCTGCCCCCTGGTGGTCACTGAATGTCATAGTGAGCGGTTGAGCAGCCTTAGCATATCATTAGCATATTACACTTTGATTGGTTGAATGGCAGACTGGACGACTGGACACTTAGCATATTAGGCTTTTATTATATAGGATAAATAAATTGTTTTATTTTATTTCTTTATAAAGAAATTTATTTTAAGGAAATGGCTCACATGATATGAGGGCTGGCAAATCCAAAATCTGTAGGGCAAACCCACAGGCTGGTAAGTCAGGCAGGAGTTGATGCTATAGTCTTGAGACAGAATTTCTTTTCAGCTTTTGCTATTAAGGCCTTCAACTGATTGGATGAGGCCCACCACATTATCAAAGGTAATCTCCTTTATTTAAAGCCAGCCGATGTGGTTAACATCTACAAAATGCCTACACAAACACCTTCAGATTAGTGTTTTGATTAAGTTACTGGGTGCTATAGCCTGGCCTAGTGGACACATAAAACTAATCATCACAAACACTATCCCACTATCTCAGAGATGGGAGAGGGCCTGGGCCCCCGCTCCTGGAGACGCTAATTCATTAGGTTGGAAGGGGCCTGGGAATTTCTTACAAGGTATGCAGGCAATTCTCATGCTCATCTGGGGTTGGGAACCAGTGGACCAGATGACCCGAAGACTGTGGGCCTATTCATCACAAACGAGACGCCGTGGCCTGGCGTGCAGTTGGTGCCAGGAAACACTGATCTCTCTGTCCTGTCAGGCTGAGACGTCCAGGCTTGGGCAGCCGAGCCCATGGCAGCTTAACATCCCACAGTCCAGTGCAGCAAGTCCTGTGGGAGGGTTGGGGCCTCGACTAATAACTGAAGTAGTAGGTCTGGGCTGCTCCAGAAAATGCTGGCAGTGCCTCCCTGTGCCGAGGGCTCCTCTGCCTCTGAGAATGGGTCCAGTGTAAGCGTGTGGGGGGAATAGGCCAGCCTGCTCCCTGTTTCACAATGTAGGACCCTGAGGCTGGGGAGGGGACAGAAAGGGCTAGGAGTGGGAATGTGCCGGAGTTGATCTCATGGGAGTACCCATGCTCCAGAGAAGTTGGGGGCAAAGGTGAGGATGAGGATGCAGGGGACACACCTTTATCAGCCAGGCAGGATAGACAAGAAACCCTGGAAGAGGGACCAGCAGAGGCAGTTCCTGGTCAGCCCAAGGAGTGTATAGAAGGGCCCAGACATGGGCGAGGCCCCCCTCTCTGGATTCCACAACCCCTCAGTGTGGGCCAGCCTGTTTGTTGCCCAGAGGAAGGATTTCTGGGATGGGGATGGGCAGGCTAGGAAAGGGCCTAGAGCTTTACTCTGGGATTGAATCATGCCTTTGCCATTTACCTTTTGGGTGCCTCGGGTTCCTCGCCTGGAAAATGGGGCAATGCATGTTTCCCTGACAGGTTGTCATGGGATGCGTTCCTCTAGGGCAGTGGTTCTCAACCTTCCTAATGCCGAGACCCTTTAATACAGTTCCTCATGTTGTGGTGACCCCCAATTTCATTGTTACAAATTGAACATAATTAAAGCATAGTGGTTAATCACAAAAACAATATGTAATTATATATGTGTTTTCCGATGGTCTTAGGCGACCCCTGTGACAGGGTCGTTCGACCCCCAAAGGGGTCTCGACCCACAGGTTGAGAACCGCTGCTCTAGGGAGAGAGCCCGGGACAGCAGGGACTTCCAGGCAGTAGATGGCAGTTCCCTTCTCCCCGGAAGAGTTCCAAGTTACAAGATGTTATACGCCCCCTCGTTGCGTGGGATTGTCCAGAGCTCCCGGCCTGCAGCTGGCAGTCTTGTAGATGAAATGGAGGTGCTGAATGCACTAGGGCTGGCCCATCCCTCT